ATCCCCCAGCGCGCGCGGCTCTTGAATTTGAAGATGGTTGATGTCAGCGGACAATACTGCACCATGCACCCCCACACGCGGAGCATGGAGGTGTCGCCTTTGGTCCCCGTCCACTTCACATGCGGGGACAGGTTGCCGGTAATTGCTGTGGTTGACAGCAGGTTGTGTACCCGCACGGCGTGATGCATCGCGTAGGTCCAGTAGATCGGCGGAAGCTTCGACTGCTTCATCAGCGCGCGCACCTTCGTCATAAGTGTGCGATTCGTGCGCACGGCTACGCTCTGCTGCTGATGCACGTAGGGGAGAGATATGTGATGCTCGATCCCCTTTTGCGCCAGGAAATCTTGCAGCTCCTTGCTCCTGAATTCTGTTGCGCCGTCAGATTGCTATATCTTCAGCTTCTCCCCAGACTGCCGCTGCGCGTGTGCCAGCCAGAGGCGAAACACCTCGTATGCTCTGCTGCGTGCCTCCACATTCACGACCCACACGTATCGAGTTCCAGCGTCGACGAAGGTAAGCGTATACAACTCGTCGTCGATTCCGCAATGTCCCACGTTGAGAAAGTCGCTGTAGACTTTCTCCAGCTTAGCGTAGCGGTTGGTTCCAGGTTCGAGTAGGGGGAAGGGCTGGTGGCTCAGCGCGGCCTCGGGGCAGACGGTGCAGGTGCGCGGATGCGTTGTGCCTCTTACTTCGGAGCCGTGAGGGCGTAGGAGTGCGCCAGGTGCGAACACGCCAGCTTTGATGCAGTTCTCCAGCGTGACGCGCGAGGGGTGGCCGAGGCGCTGATGCCAGAGCGCATCGTCGGCGCGGAATCCAGAGGTGCGCATGTAGCGCGCGCGTGCTACTTCGGGGTCTTCATCAGGTACTGGGACAGGTGCTGCTTCTTCTTCTTCCTCTTCGCCGTAGCCCATGGTTAGCATCAATGCGAGAAATTCCCTATCAAGGGTCACAGAAAGGGGAATATTAGTTTCAGGGATAGTTCCAGGCACGAAAGTTGGTTCACGCGGCTCGGGGGCAGGCCCGTAAACTGTGCGCCGCGGAGTTGAGGGCTCGTTTCCCCAGTCGATAGTGTCCCAGGGGTCGCGCTGCGGCTGGATGTCAGGCGGAGGAAGTGCAGGTGCGGGGCGGCGCGGGGGGCGACCAAGAGGGACAATTGCAGGTTCTGCTTCTTCCCCCCTTTGGTCCTCGCGGAAAGCTCCCCAGCCGCTTGTTTCGCCGCCAGAGGCGGTTCCCCATCCGCCGGTGTTGCCGCTGGTGACTGCTCCCCATCCGCCGGTGTTGCCGCCAGTGTCGCTCGTACCCCATCCGCCGGTGTTGCCCCACCCCCCTTCATTGGAGGCGCTCTCCTCTTCTTCCCATCCACTCCAGGCGAATGTCCCGCGAGCTTTGGCGAGACTGTTCCAGCGAAGTTCTTCTGCTTCGCGTCGCGCCAATTCCTCTTCCTGCGCCACGGTGAGCTTCTTTCCGGAATTGCGCTTGTGGGAGTAGATTTCAAAGGAATTTCTCCTCTGTGTACGGTCGTGGGTTGCCGTCTGCGTCGAAGGTGCCGACGCCGACACCGCGCAGCATGCCCCGCAGATGTTGTGATGCGGGTCTGGGGAGAGGGTGTTCCGGCGTTCTGAAGATGACGCGCGTGGCTGTCTCAAGCTCCAGGTTAGATAGACCCTCTTCAGGCGGTGCTTCCCGCTCTGCTTCGGCGATGGCGGCGAGGCCACGGCCGGCAATCGCGCTCGTTGATGCCGTGGGCGTGTGGCAATCTCTGCAGATGCCGTCGGGGTCGGGGTCGTGCAACGCCAGCTCGCGCGGGTGTGGGTGATGTGGCACCCACGGTCTTCCATCTGGGTGCTTCCAGACGCGGTGGTGAATATGCTTGAAGCGCAGGGGAACGAGATCTATGAGCTCGTGCGAATTCCCGCTGCAGTCGGGAATGTCGAAATCGAGTACGTAAACTCCGTTTTCGGAGTGCGCTCGACCGATCTACTTGCGGATGTTGTTTGGCATCATGTAGTGAAGCCGGATGTCGCGCGTCCTGGCGTCGGTGCTAAGGTTGACTCCGCAGTCCATGAGTTGCGCCGCCGAGAGGAGATTGAAGCGCAGATTTTGCACGATTAGCACGTCGTTCAGCGTGATGTGTGTCCTGCTCCCTCGGGCCTTGAGCACAACGATGCCTTGCGCGCTTGCGCGCAACCGCGTGTTGTTCGCCACGGTGACGTAGGTGACGGCAGGGGTGGCGACGGCATTGGATATGTAACGCTCGGAGCCCACCATATGCTGCCCACAGCAGCTATCCAGGTACCACGTGTTGTAGCGCCCGTTGTCGTTACGTGCGAGCAGCGCTAGTCGCGGAGTAACGATGTGCGGTGTGTCAACTTTGAGAACTTGTTCGCGCGCGATCCAATCGATCGGTGCCTCCCGCGTATCAGGTATGTGCGGGGGACTCTCAAGCAGCGGGATTGGCAAGTTCCAATCTTGGTCGTCGTCGTCGCTGAAGTCGTGACGCGTGCTGAACGGGTTGTTGTTCGAAAACGCTCCGATTGGGTGAGGTGCTGGCTCGGGTGACGGTGAGCGTGCACGGGGACGACGCGATCCGCTCGTCATTGTCATGTTCCCCATGACATTGCGGACGGGAGCCGGCTGTGGCGGGTGCTGCTGCTGATGCTGAACCGTTGGGTTCAGGTTGCGCGAAGGGGGTTAATACCCCTGGTCTGGATGCGAATCGTTCCGTGCGTCTTGTCGGCCGGACCAGGTGCTCGGATTGGTCTGGCGAGGGCGAGATCGGGACTTACATCGATCTGCCAGGTGCCCAAAGTTTCTGCAGATTTTGCAGTAGAGGCGACGCGGCCGTCGCTCTTCAGTGTTGTCGGCGTAGAAGGCGAGGCGTTCTCTCTCTCGTCGCGGTGCTGGTCGCTGCTGGTCCATATCCCGTTGTTCGACGAGAAGGGCGACGCATAGGGCGGCCTCCGAGATGACCCCCTGCTGTCGGAGAAGCGCCTTACATGGTCGCCAATCTGGGCCGAGCCCTTGAAGCACGATGTTCACGAATATCTCCTCAAAGATCGTGCTTCCCAATTTCGCGATCTGATCGCGTAAGCTCCGACAGCGGTTCAGGTAACTGTTGGCCTTCTCTCCCCTGTGGCCATTCTTGTTTCCAGGAGTTACTGGAGGAGGCGGCTCGACGAAACCGAGTCCTTCGGTTGATATACGCCATTCGGGTGGCGCCAAGCGTCCAGGGCTGGAGCGGGTGAAGTTTTGTAGGAGCGAATGCTCAACTGCTCCGCCGGCGACATGTTCCACAGAAGGACCCCGTACGCCATCAAGGACTCATTGTAGTACCTTGTTCTGGCGTCGTTGGTGTCCTCAGCAGGTCCCGAGTAGCTCCCGTCGAAATAATGAAAAATCTGCGCGTTTTGACAGCTCCAGCTCGAAGCTCCAAGTATAGAAGTCTCTGCCGTCAAAGCACACACTTGTCTTTATTTTTTATATGCTCAAAAACCTTGATTGCGCAGAGAGAATTGCTTCTTTGCTGGGACGGGGAGTCTTGGGTGTTGAGCCATTTGTGTCGAGGGAGAAGGTATGCGAGGCGGAATTCTGGCCGTTCGAGGCCGGTTGAGAGGGTTGGGAGACAGTTCCCGCATCGCCATTCCGCAATGTTTGGAGTCCTTGCTCCAAGCTGGTGAGTCGCTGAAGCAGTTGTGCGAGGACGGCGGTTCTTATCATCATTGTTTCCTCGCTTGTCGCAGCCTGGTTGGGCTGCGCTTCAGCCGTCAGATTCGTCCGACCACCAGATCCTCCGGCCATTCTCACACGTGAGCGTGTGCCGAACACCACTTTTCGTTCGCCGAAAGTTTCGGAGGTGGCAGTGCAAAGGATTCCTGAGTTGCTCTCATACCATGTTGCGATCAGAAAAAGATCGTCCCTAGGATCACCTCAGGAAGGTTCGCACACGACTGAGTGGTGGTGGTGGTGGTGGGCCCTTGACCTCAATAGCAGAGTGAATGCAAAATGCTTGAGATAATAAAAACGCGCAAATACAACACTACCGTATAAGTAAGAGTACAGGGGAATACCAATCGTCCTAGCTAGCCATGTACTCTAAGGGGTACTCATTCCCTTATTACAGCGAACTCCAACCGTGCGACTCCCGACAGTTACGAAACTGTTCGGGCAAAATCCTCGCCACTGCTGCTGCCTGATGCTGTCTGCCCGACGATCCAGATGCTTTCGTAACCGTGCGACCCTTCGCGTCACTTCCGCCCTTTCGTCTTCAACCCCGGTAGTGCGGTGAGGAGTGCACAGTAATGTTTCAATAATTACTAATCGTAACACAAATGCTTCTGCATGTATCGGTCTGACAGTTTCTGGTGTCGCTTCGATTCACCTGACCTCTCGACGTCATCCTCGGTACTGCTTGCTCCTGTTACGAGCAGGAATGCCATTCTCATTTAAACCATATCGCAACAAGATTCTAGTTTTAAAGCCCGAGGTCAGCAAGGTAAATTTTCAAGTTATGTGGGGTTGAAACAGTCTGTCGAAAATAATGATATCGTGTATTTCGAAAATGTGTGTGGGGCGAAAGCGAATTCAGGAGGCGGGTAAAACAGCCTTCGCCACGATACTATGCGACAGCTGTTTCCAAGGATATGGGAGGGCCGAACGACTGTGTGTGACAGAGCACTGCTCCAGCCCCACCACTGCTGCTGGCGCTTCTCTTGGGGTTGAAATGGTGGGCAACGCGAAACTCAAGCGAGTGAGAGTAAGGCAGTACACTGAACACTACTTTTACAATTTCTAATTTACTAAATGTCTGGATGCTTTTGAGACTTCACTTCAGAAAAACACAACATTTCATGTGCTGAATAGGTGCAGAAAAGCATTGCAAGCAAATTGTGAATAAAAAATAATGAAATATCAAGAAACGCATTACCAATACATTTCGGGAACGCACTCTCTCAAGCTCAGATCCCTCAACTCATAAGGATCTCGGCCGGCCACATATCGACATGCCGTGCTGGTCCCTGCACCACTCTGCACTCCCCCGGCCCACAGCAGCGCAGACCTGACGTGCGCTGCCGCCATCATTTCTGCCAGCATGGTCTGCCCCCTCCCGCATCAATGCTCCGCGGCATCCTGCTGGGCAGCAGGGGAGGCTGAAGGCAGTTTCGGGAGGAGGCTGCTCACAGCTCCGCCAGCAAGCCTCAGGGCAGATTCACTCGAAGATCTGCTGGATGCGGTGCTTCGGTGGCCTGCCACGAGGAAGAGGGGGAGCAGAGGGGGAGGGAGTGGGGAGAGAGTGACGCTCATCACTAGTGCCAGGGGATCCAGTCATCGAAGAACTTCTGCATGCGCGTGCGTGTTGCTATGCACCGTGTAGAGAAGGGAAGGGGATGGGGGGAAGCAGGGAAGGGGATGGGGGGAAGCAGGGAGAGGGATGGGAGGAAGCAGGGAAGGGGATGGGGAGAAGCAGGGAAGGGGATGGGGAGAAGCAGGGAAGGGGATGGGAGGAAGCAGGGAAGGGGATGGGGAGAAGCAGGGAAGGGGATGGGGGGAAGCAGGGAAGGGGATGGGGGGAAGCAGGGAAGGGGATGGGGGGAAGCAGGGAAGGGGATGGGGAGAAGCAGGGAAGGGGATGGGGAGAAGCAGGGAAGGGGATGGGGGGAAGCAGGGAAGGGGATGGGGGGAAGCAGGGAAGGGGATGGGGAGAAGCAGGGAAGGGGATGGGGAGAAGCAGGGAAGGGGATGGGGAGAAGCAGGGAAGGGGATGGAGGGAAGCAGGGAAGGGGATGGGGGGAAGCAGGGAGCGGGATGGGGGGAAGCAGGGAGCGGGATGGGGGGAAGCAGGGAGCGGGATGGGGGGAAGCAGGGAAGGGGATGGGGGGAAGCAGGGAAGGGGATGGGGGGAAGCAGGGAAGGGGATGGGGGGAAGCAGGGAAGGGGATGGGGGGAAGCAGGGAAGGGGATGGGGGGAAGCAGGGAAGGGGATGGGGGGAAGCAGGGAAGGGGATGGGGGGAAGCAGGGAAGGGGATGGGGAGAAGCAGGGAAGGGGATGGGGAGAAGCAGGGAAGGGGATGGGGAGAAGCAGGGAAGGGGATGGGGGGAAGCAGGGAAGGGGATGGGGGGAAGCAGGGAAGGGGATGGGGAGAAGCAGGGAAGGGGATGGGGAGAAGCAGGGAAGGGGATGGGGAGAAGCAGGGAAGGGGATGGAGGGAAGCAGGGAAGGGGATGGGGGGAAGCAGGGAAGGGGATGGGGGGAAGCAGGGAGCGGGATGGGGGGAAGCAGGGAGCGGGATGGGGGGAAGCAGGGAAGGGGATGGGGGGAAGCAGGGAAGGGGATGGGGGGAAGCAGGGAGCGGGATGGGGGGAAGCAGGGAAGGGGATGGGGGGAAGCAGGGAAGGGGATGGGGGGAAGCAGGGAAGGGGATGGGGGGAAGCAGGGAAGGGGATGGGGGGAAGCAGGGAAGGGGATGGGGAGAAGCAGGGAAGGGGATGGGGGGAAGCAGGGAAGGGGATGAAGGGAAGCAGGGAAGGGGATGGGGGGAAGCAGGGAAGGGGATGGGGGGAAGCAGGGAAGGGGATGGGGGGAAGCAGGGAAGGGGATGGGGGGAAGCAGGGAAGGGGATGGGGAGAAGCAGGGAAGGGGATGGGGGGAAGCAGGGAAGGGGATGGGGAGAAGCAGGGATGGGGAGAAGCAGGGAAGGGGATGGGGGGAAGCAGGTGAGGCAAAGGAGAATATATTGGGGGGTAAACGGAGCTGGTGGAAGTGAGGGAGGCTGGTAATAAAAAAAAGGGGTGTAAACAATTAGGGGGGAGTGAGATCGACAGGGAGAGGGAGTGAGGGGAGTACCCGCTCTCACCCTCTGTCGCTCACTCTCTGGGACACCCCCCCCCCCCCCCCCCCTGTTCCCCCCCCCTCCGTCCTTCCCCTGCTGTCTCTCCACCTCTGCCCTTCACCTTCTGTCTCTCACTCTCTGCCCCTCCCCCTCTGTTCCTCCCCTCCGTCCTTCCCCTTCTGTCTCTCCCCGTCTGCCCTTCACCCTCTGTCTCTCCACCTGTGTCCTTCCCCCCGTGTCTCTCCCCCTCTGTCCTTAGCGAAAAAGGGAGGGAGAGAGGGAAGAGAGAGAGAAAGGCAAGAGAGCGAGAAAGGGAAGAGAGGGAGAGGGAGAGAGGGACAGAGGAATGAAGGTAGAGAGCAAGGTAGGGAGGGACGGAGGGAGAGAGGAAGAGAGGGGAGAAAGAGGGATGGAGGGAGGAAGCTTGGGCGAAATGAAGAGGCGGGGGCGACGAGAAGAAGCGCGCGCGGGCGACGAGGAGAAGCGCGCGCGGGCGACGAAGAGAAGCGCGCGCGGGCGACGAGGAAAAGCGCGCGCGGGCGACGTGCAGAAGCGCGCGAGGGCGACGGATCAGGGTGCGCGCGCGGGCGACGAGGAGAAGCGCGGGACGGTGGGAAGCGCGGGCGACGAAGGAAAGCGAGAGAGACGAGTGGGAGATATGGTGACCCGAGCAAGTGTGGGTGACGAGAAGAAGTGCGGGTGTCGCTTTTCTGCCAGTCTCACGAGGGTAACGCGCTCTCGTCATACTAAATCCCTTGAGTGTGGCAGCTCATGCCATTTACGAGCATTGCTCGTGTCGTGCGCTAGCACGGGTAGCGTCCCTGGCATGCGAAAGAGGTACGGTGAGCGCTTGGCTTGAAGTTGTGCTGCTCAGCGATTGGACAGACAGCGTGAGTGCCTCGTGTTGCATGGAGAAAGTCGCCTTTACTTGAGCTAGCTTCTATCGCCCTGCCGCGCGTTTCCTAGTACTGTCCCTATTTTAGCAGACTAGTACTACTAGGTCTTCAAGATATGTGAGAGGTGCTCACGGCAATATTGTGGGCGATGGTCGGAGGTGTTGTGCGACTGGGCACGGAAACCAATCAGGAGTGAGGGTCGCAATAGGTTTTCCCTGAGTCGCGAATTGTTTTTCAAACCAGAGAGGGTTACCCTGTTTTTTGAGACTTCAAATTCAAGAATCTTGAACTTGAAAAATACCATGCTGTACCCGGGCTTTAACCTAAGATTGTTTTTTTTTTTCTTTTCTGTAGAATTCATCCTCGTCAACAACTCCTCGATATTCTCGGTACCGTGACCGGTAAGGTGCTTCATTATATTTTTCCTGGTTCAATCAAACGCATACCGCGGAGCGAGATCCCAAGGACCTCTCTTACGTTGCCATTTCATTCCCAGCAGACCATCCCAGATCAGGATTCCATTTGCTGTCAGACGAAGCGTAAAGCGGCCATTGAGTTCTTCGTTTCGTAGACGTAGGGCACAGCTCACTTGTTATCGTGGGAGTGGTGCGTCTCTAACCGCCGACTCCGCTGCGTTCGTCTGCCTTTGTAATCGAGCCCGTTTCTGGCGCAAATCCGTCGTTCAAGGTGTGCTTATAGTGGTTTGTGAGATTATATTGTTAGGTCAGTCTTCGAGTGATCCTTTGCGGTCCTTCCTTCGACATAGGCCGTGATTACCAGTCAGTCATTCCGCCTCGGTTCGCCTGACAGGAATCCTATCAGAAATTCGGTCAGAATCACATCATTCGTCGCACTCGCATCTCGATCACTAGCCTCACCTCCCCGTCGAGTATCCATCCACTCCAAATCCAGGATTTCTGCCGAATTCACCCTGACCGGCGTCCATTCCCTCCCCTTTGCTGCTCATAGCTTGCGAAGGCGGCGAGTCGCAATGGAGGCAGATCCGATAGAAGCGGCGGCAGCGGCAGTGTCGGTGGAGGAGCAGCGGAAGCAGCAAGCGCTGGTGGACTATCGCAAGAAGCTGCTTCAGCTCCGGGAGTTAGAAGCGCGAGTTAAGACGCGTACGTAGCTAATTTCTGCTCCTTAGTCCTTCTCTTTTATTTAGGTCAGCGGCTGGATCTGTAATTACGTGATAGCGTTCTCGCCGCCTCTCCAATCTCTCCTTGTTCACGCTACAGCCAGAATTTGTTCTGTTTATGATTTTCTCGTGTTGTTGGAGTTCGTTACATTTGTCGATTTCCTGGTGTGCCCTCTGTCTGGGATTTGATTCGATTTGGTATAATCCGATATGCAGTGCGGGAGAATCTGAAGGGCGCGCGGAAGGATTACGACAAGACGGAGGACGACCTGAAAGCGCTGCAGAGCGTGGGGCAGATCATCGGCGAGGTGCTGCGACAACTGGACGAGGAGCGACGTGAGTTTGAGAGGGTTGATGGAGAGACGTGAGTCTGAGAGGGTTGATGGAGAGATGTGAGTTGAAGAGAGATGTGAATTGCTTCGTGTGGTTGTGTCAGACGTGTGTCGTCCCTCCTCTACCCCCCCCCCTTCCACGCTTGGCTGCTCGCACTGATGGGCAGCAATCGCACTGCTCTCGCAGTCAGCAGTGGCTACGTGGCGGGGTGTCGCAGCAAGGTGGACAAGAGCAAGCTCACCGCCGAATTTGTGTCTTGTCCCTCGCTCCCCCGCCATCCATCCCCACACGCAGTGATAGTGAAAGCCATCAGCGGCCCGCGGTACGTGGTGGGGTCTGAGGAGCCTCAAGAGTTCACTTTTTACCTGACCCCCCACACACATAACAGCTCGCGCGCAGTGACTGTGAAGGCGAGCAGTGGCCCGCGCGGTATGTGCTGGGGCGTGTCGCAGCAAGGGGGACAGGAGCAAGCTCACAGCCAACACTTGTGTCTCTTGTCCCTCCCCCACTCCCCTGGCTCTCCGCGCATTCCCGCGCGCAGTGATTGTGAAGGCGAGCAGTGGGCCGCGGTACGTGGTGGGGTGTCGCAGCAAGGTGGACAAGAGCAAGCTCACAGCCGGCACGCGGGTGGCGCTCGACATGACCACACTCACCATCATGCGCGCACTGCCACGGGAGGTGAGCTCAGCAATTGACTTTTGAGTTTGAGTCAGTCAGACTCAAAAGTCAACTCGACATGACCACACCACAGTCACCATCATGCGCACGCTGCCCCGGGAGGTGGGCTCAGCAGGATGTAATGCCTTTGGCACCGTTGTTTTGCATTTGAATGAAGCAGCACGTAACGGCCTGTCAGCAAGGGTGCTGCGCTCGGCGTGACCACCCTCACCATCATGCGTGCTCTGCTCTGCGCGAGCACGCAACCTGCTTCTGTTTCCCTACGTGTGCACACTCTCTCTCTCACCGCCCTCTCACTTCCCTGCCTCTGCACTCCTAGATGCTCTTTCTGCTGCCCCTCTTGCTGCTTACTCCCCCGCACACTTTACTTCTCGCCATCCCCCCGCCCTCTCAGGTGGATTCGCTGGTGTATAACAAGCTTCACCAGGACCTAGGGAATGCGGGCTATTGTGCCATCGGCGGGCTGAGGGAGTTTATCCGGTTGCCCCTCATGAACCCCGAGCTCTTCCCCCCGCCGCTCCTGCTTCCCACCCCTTCATACCCTCTCCCCCACCCCCTCCACACGCCCAGGTGGACCCGCTGGTGTACAACATGCTCCACGAGGACCCGGGGAACGTCAGTTACAGTGCCATCGGCGGGTTGGGAGATCAGATCCGCGAGCTGAGGGAGTCCATCGAGCTGCCCCTCATGAACCCCGAGCTCTTCCTGCGTGTGGGCATCAAACCCCCCAAGGGCGTGCTGCTGTACGGCCCGCCGGGGACCGGCAAGACGCTGCTTGCGCGTGCCATCGCCAGCAACATCGACGCCAACTTCCTCAAGGTGTGTGTTGTGGGTCCGTCCATTCCCCACCTGCCTGCCTGGTCGCATGCAAACGCCGCAGTACACCTAAAAGAGCGTTGGACCATTTTCCACCTGGCTGGGTCCCTTTGCTCCCTTTCCTGCGTATGGGTCTTGACACACGCAACCGCCAGCCACGCATGATCTTGAAAGACGAGTCATACGACTGTTCCTCTTTTTCGCTGCACCTTTCCCATCCGTGCAGGTCGTGTCAAGCGCCATTGTCGACAAGTACATCGGGGAGAGCGCTCGGCTGATCAGGGAGATGTTCAACTATGCGCGCGACCACCAGCCGTGCATCATCTTTATGGACGAGATCGACGCCATTGGCGGGCGCCGCTTCAGCGAGGGCACGAGTGCCGACCGCGAGATCCAACGGACGCTCATGGAGCTGCTGAACCAATTGGACGGCTTTGATCAGCTCGGACGGGTACGCTGTCTGTCTGGCCTGGCATGCGTCAGATATTCTGTCTTGCCTCCTTTGGTTGCCGAATTGCATGCGTGTTTCGTGTTGCAAGGTTGTTGGCGGGCTGTGGGAAGCCTTCCTCCATTCCGTGTGTTCACTCCGTCTGTAACCACGTGAAGATGGTAACGCCCACCAACAGTCCTTTAACGTGCTCTTCTTTGCCCCAGGGCACGTGAATCCACAAGCCAGAGCTTCTGTTTTCTCCATTCCGTATGCCCAACTCGCCTATTCCCGGGTGAAGATGATCATGGCTACCGTCCCTTTGTACCCTGCTTCCATGTCTCAACTCCCTTTGTGCCCGCAGGTGAAGATGATCATGGCCACCAACCGGCCGGGCGTGCTGGACCCGGCGCTGCTGCGGCCCTCCCTTTACTCCCTGTCCCTCGCACCCCTGCCATCACCCCTCCTTGTACCCCCGTGCACCCGCCCTAAACCCGAAATCTCACCAGGTGAAGATGATCATGGCCACCAACCGCCCCGACGTGCTGGACCCGGCGCTGCTGCGGCCGGGGCGGCTGGACCGCAAGATAGAGATCCCGCTGCCCAACGAGCAGGGGCGCATTGAGGTGCTCAAGATCCATGCGCTCGGCATCACCAAGCATGGCGAGATCGACTACGAGGCCATTGTGAAGCTGGCGGAGGTGAGTTGTCAAGAAGCTCTATACAGAATTCAGCAGGGGCGCTTCGAGGTGCTCGAGATCCGTTATGCTGGCGGAGGTGAGTCAATCTCGCTGAGGTGAGTCAATCTCGCTGAGGTGAGTCAATCTCGCGGAGGTGAGTCAATCTCGCTGAGGTGAGTCAATCTCGCTGAGGTGAGTCAATCTCGCTGAGGTGAGTCAATCTCGCTGAGGTGAGTCAATCTCGCTGAGGTGAGTCAATCTCGCTGAGGTGAGTCAATCTCGCTGAGGTGAGTCAATCTCGCGGAGGTGAGTCAATCTCGCTGAGGTGAGTCAATCTCGCTGAGGTGAGTCAATCTCGCTGAGGTGAGTCAATCTCGCTGAGGTGAGTCAATCTCGCTGAGGTGAGTCAATCTCGCTGAGGTGAGTCAATCTCGCTGAGGTGAGTCAATCTCGCTGAGGTGAGTCAATCTCGCTGAGGTGAGTCAATCTCGCGGAGGTGAGTCAATCTCGCTGAGGTGAGTCAATCTCGCTGAGGTGAGTCAATCTCGCTGAGGTGAGTCAATCTCGCGGAGGTGAGTCAATCTCGCTGAGGTGAGTCAATCTCGCTGAGGTGAGTCAATCTCGCTGAGGTGAGTCAATCTCGCTGAGGTGAGTCAATCTCGCTGAGGTGAGTCAATCTCGCTGAGGTGAGTCAATCTCGCTGAGGTGAGTCAATCTCGCTGAGGTGAGTCAATCTCGCTGAGGTGAGTCAATCTCGCTGAGGTGAGTCAATCTCGCTGAGGTGAGTCAATCTCGCTGAGGTGAGTCAATCTCGCTGAGGTGAGTCAATCTCGCTGAGGTGAGTCAATCTCGCTGAGGTGAGTCAATCTCGCTGAGGTGAGTCAATCTCGCTGAGGTGAGTCAATCTCGCTGAGGTGAGTCAATCTCGCTGAGGTGAGTCAATCTCGCTGAGGTGAGTCAATCTCGCTGAGGTGAGTCAATCTCGCTGAGGTGAGTCAATCTCGCTGAGGTGAGTCAATCTCGCTGAGGTGAGTCAATCTCGCTGAGGTGAGTCAATCTCGCTGAGGTGAGTCAATCTCGCTGGGGTGAGTCAATCTCGCTGAGGGTGAGTCAATCTCGCTGAGGTGAGTCAATCTCGCTGAGGTGAGTCAATCTCGCTGAGGTGAGTCAATCTCGCTGAGGTGAGTCAATCTCGCTGAGGTGAGTCAATCTCGCTGAGGTGAGTCAATCTCGCTGAGGTGAGTCAATCTCGCTGAGGTGAGTCAATCTCGCTGAGGTGAGTCAATCTCGCTGAGGTGAGTCAATCTCGCTGAGGTGAGTCAATCTCGCTGAGGTGAGTCAATCTCGCTGAGGTGAGTCAATCTCGCTGAGGTGAGTCAATCTCGCTGAGGTGAGTCAATCTCGCTGAGGTGAGTCAATCTCGCTGAGGTGAGTCAATCTCGCTGAGGTGAGTCAATCTCGCTGAGGTGAGTCAATCTCGCTGAGGTGAGTCAATCTCGCTGAGGTGAGTCAATCTCGCTGAGGTGAGTCAATCTCGCTGAGGTGAGTCAATCTCGCTGAGGTGAGTCAATCTCGCTGAGGTGAGTCAATCTCGCTGAGGTGAGTCAATCTCGCTGAGGTGAGTCAATCTCGCTGAGGTGAGTCAATCTCGCGGAGGTGAGTCAATCTCGCTGAGGTGAGTCAATCTCGCTGAGGTGAGTCAATCTCGCTGAGGTGAGTCAATCTCGCTGAGGTGAGTCAATCTCGCTGAGGTGAGTCAATCTCGCTGAGGTGAGTCAATCTCGCTGAGGTGAGTCAATCTCGCTGAGGTGAGTCAATCTCGCTGAGGTGAGTCAATCTCGCTGAGGTGAGTCAATCTCGCTGAGGTGAGTCAATCTCGCTGAGGTGAGTCAATCTCGCTGAGGTGAGTCAATCTCGCTGAGGTGAGTCAATCTCGCTGAGGTGAGTCAATCTCGCTGAGGTGAGTCAATCTCGCTGAGGTGAGTCAATCTCGCTGAGGTGAGTCAATCTCGCTGAGGTGAGTCAATCTCGCTGAGGTGAGTCAATCTCGCTGAGGTGAGTCAATCTCGCTGAGGTGAGTCAATCTCGCTGAGGTGAGTCAATCTCGCTGAGGTGAGTCAATCTCGCTGAGGTGAGTCAATCTCGCTGAGGTGAGTCAATCTCGCTGAGGTGAGTCAATCTCGCTGAGGTGAGTCAATCTCGCTGAGGTGAGTCAATCTCGCTGAGGTGAGTCAATCTCGCTGAGGTGAGTCAATCTCGCTGAGGTGAGTCAATCTCGCTGAGGTGAGTCAATCTCGCTGAGGTGAGTCAATCTCGCTGAGGTGAGTCAATCTCGCTGAGGTGAGTCAATCTCGCTGAGGTGAGTCAATCTCGCTGAGGTGAGTCAATCTCGCTGAGGTGAGTCAATCTCGCTGAGGTGAGTCAATCTCGCTGAGGTGAGTCAATCTCGCGGAGGTGAGTCAATCTCGCGGAGGTGAGTCAATCTCGCGGAGGTGAGTCAATCTCGCTGAGGTGAGTCAATCTCGCTGAGGTGAGTCAATCTCGCTGAGGTGAGTCAATCTCGCGGAGGTGAGTCAATCTCGCTGAGGTGAGTCAATCTCGCTGAGGTGAGTCAATCTCGCTGAGGTGAGTCAATCTCGCTGAGGTGAGTCAATCTCGCTGAGGTGAGTCAATCTCGCTGAGGTGAGTCAATCTCGCTGAGGTGAGTCAATCTCGCTGAGGTGAGTCAATCTCGCTGAGGTGAGTCAATCTCGCGGAGGTGAGTCAATCTCGCTGAGGTGAGTCAATCTCGCTGAGGTGAGTCAATCTCGCTGAGGTGAGTCAATCTCGCGGAGGTGAGTCAATCTCGCTGAGGTGAGTCAATCTCGCTGAGGTGAGTCAATCTCGCTGAGGTGAGTCAATCTCGCTGAGGTGAGTCAATCTCGCTGAGGTGAGTCAATCTCGCTGAGGTGAGTCAATCTCGCTGAGGTGAGTCAATCTCGCTTAGGTGAGTCAATCTCGCTGAGGTGAGTCAATCTCGCTGAGGTGAGTCAATCTCGCTTAGGTGAGTCAATCTCGCTGAGGTGAGTCAATCTCGCTGGGGTGAGTCAATCTCGCTGAGGTGAGTCAATCTCGCTGAGGTGAGTCAATCTCGCTGAGGTGAGTCAATCTCGCTGAGGTGAGTCAATCTCGCTGAGGTGAGTCAATCTCGCTGAGGTGAGTCAATCTCGCTGAGGTGAGTCAATCTCGCTGAGGTGAGTCAATCTCGCTGAGGTGAGTCAATCTCGCTGAGGTGAGTCAATCTCGCTGAGGTGAGTCAATCTCGCTGAGGTGAGTCAATCTCGCTGAGGTGAGTCAATCTCGCTGAGGTGAGTCAATCTCGCGGAGGTGAGTCAATCTCGCGGAGGTGAGTCAATCTCGCGGAGGTGAGTCAATCTCGCTGAGGTATCTCGCTGAGGTGAGTCAATCTCGCGGAGGTGAGTCAATCTCGCTGAGGTGAGTCAATCTCGCTGAGGTGAGTCAATCTCGCTGAGGTGAGTCAATCTCGCTGAGGTGAGTCAATCTCGCTGAGGTGAGTCAATCTCGCTGAGGTGAGTCAATCTCGCTGAGGTGAGTCAATCTCGCTGAGGTGAGTCAATCTCGCTGAGGTGAGTCAATCTCGCTGAGGTGAGTCAATCTCGCTGAGGTGAGTCAATCTCGCTGAGGTGAGTCAATCTCGCTGAGGTGAGTCAATCTCGCTGAGGTGAGTCAATCTCGCTGAGGTGAGTCAATCTCGCTGAGGTGAGTCAATCTCGCTGAGGTGAGTCAATCTCGCTGAGGTGAGTCAATCTCGCTGAGGTGAGTCAATCTCGCTGAGGTGAGTCAATCTCGCTGAGGTGAGTCAATCTCGCTGAGGTGAGTCAATCTCGCTGAGGTGAGTCAATCTCGCTGAGGTGAGTCAATCTCGCTGAGGTGAGTCAATCTCGCTGAGGTGAGTCAATCTCGCTGAGGTGAGTCAATCTCGCTGGGGTGAGTCAATCTCGCTGGGGTGAGTCAATCTCGCTGAGGTGAGTCAATCTCGCTGAGGTGAGTCAATCTCGCTGAGGTGAGTCAATCTCGCTGAGGTGAGTCAATCTCGCTGAGGTGAGTCAATCTCGCTGAGGTGAGTCAATCTCGCTGAGGTGAGTCAATCTCGCTGAGGTGAGTCAATCTCGCTGAGGTGAGTCAATCTCGCTGAGGTGAGTCAATCTCGCTGAGGTGGGTCAATCTCGCTGAGGTGGGTCAATCTCGCTGAGGTGAGTCAATCTCGCTGAGGTGAGTCAATCTCGCTGAGGTGAGTCAATCTCGCTGAGGTGAGTCAATCTCGCTGAGGTGAGTTCAATCTCGCTGAGGTGAGTCAATCTCGCTGAGGTGAGTCAATCTCGCTGAGGTGAGTCAATCTCGCTGAGGTGAGTCAATCTCGCTGAGGTGAGTCAATCTCGCTGAGGTGAGTCAATCTCGCTGAGGTGAGTCAATCTCGCTGAGGTGAGTCAATCTCGCTGAGGTGAGTCAATCTCGCTGAGGTGAGTCAATCTCGCTGAGGTGAGTCAATCTCGCTGAGGTGAGTCAATCTCGCTGAGGTGAGTCAATCTCGCTGAGGTGAGTCAATCTCGCTGAGGTGAGTCAATCTCGCTGAGGTGAGTCAATCTCGCTGAGGTGAGTCAATCTCGCTGAGGTGAGTCAATCTCGCTGAGGTGAGTCAATCTCGCGGAGGTGAGTCAATCTCGCGGAGGTGAGTCAATCTCGCTGAGGTGAGTCAATCTCGCTGAGGTGAGTCAATCTCGCTGAGGTGAGTCAATCTCGCTGAGGTGAGTCAATCTCGCTGAGGTGAGTCAATCTCGCTGAGGTGAGTCAATCTCGCTGAGGTGAGTCAATCTCGCTGAGGTGAGTCAATCTCGCTGAGGTGAGTCAATCTCGCTGAGGTGAGTCAATCTCGCTGAGGTGAGTCAATCTCGCTGAGGTGAGTCAATCTCGCTGAGGTGAGTCAATCTCGCTGAGGTGAGTCAATCTCGCTGAGGTGAGTC